CTGGCTAACTACTGGCTAACTACTGGCTAACTACTGGCTAACTACTGGCTAAGATTGTGAACCTGTGACGTGTAACCTGTCAAACTTTCAAACTTCACTAGCTAGGAGGCCAAACAGTCTATGCAGACAAGTTGCCTCTGCCATGTAAGCTGCAGGCGACCGGGCAACCTGCTAGTGACCAAAGAATTTAGATAGAAGTTTCCAGCAACATAGCCAACAACCATTAGCCGGGTTGTTGGGGAAAGTGGATTCACCGAGAGTCAGCTGCCGGGTGGATGCTGTGCCACAAAGGGATGAGGTTTCTCTGGGTCTGTTTGACCGATTCCCTATTATGCATGAGAAGAGTGACGATATGAAAACCCAAGAGTGAAACAGCTAAAGCTGCTTATTTTATTGAAAGCAGCGCAGATAATTAAAGTCTGAAAATGTGCCATTCTGAAGAAGAAACATACAAAAGTAATAATTTAGTTCGTCTTTCACGCCAGATTGATCAGCACGACTTGTTAATATATTGTGATGTAACAAAGCCTGCACACTGACCTGCATGTTTGCCGCATCACAATGACGTTTTCCCGAGTTTCAGAGGACGAGCGCATGTCTGAGCAGCACGCATCACCCACCAGCTGACCTTCTTATGCCAGGAAATCATGTGAGATCAGACTTTGTATTGATCCCAGCGTAGCGCTCGTTCTTAAAGAAAAATCTGTTTCATCGTGCTCAAAAGCACGCAACACACCAGGGTAATCACCGTTTGAAAATGCAAAGTTTAACATTTAAAGAGAGCAGACAAACCCGGGGGAGCTCAGTCCAGGTTTGATGTGAAGGAGAAAAGATCAATTCCTGCTCTTTTGCTTAAATATACAACTGCACAGGACGCTTGGTTTGCATCGGAATAATAGAAGTGAAACTGACGCTGTGCTTGTTTTTATCTTGTCTTCCTGCTGATAGGGTTACTACTTCCACACAGATAATCCTTATAAGGACTTGCCTAATGCATTCGAAGAGGGACTGAAGAAATCCCGAGAGGGAGACTTGCCAAACGCTGTGCTTTTGCTGGAAGCAGCTGTCCTACAGGACCCTCACGATTCAGAGGTGAATTCTGCTAAAACATGCACAGAGCTGTCAACACACACACTGTTTACCCAGTCAAGTCAGCAGCAGAGCTATTCATATTTACAGACATTTGTACACTTTTAGAGCAGCCTTAGGCCGGCTAACTGGACGGGATCACTGAGGCTGTCATTGCAAAGCTATGGCTAAATCCTCCCCTGCTAGAGGAAGAATGCCTCACTGACCACTGATTTGTAGGCAGCACCCACAGGCTCAACGCTGATTGCCTGTAGAGGTCTTTTAAAAATAGTTGTTTACTGTAGCAAAAAATACTCGACTTGCACTTGATGAGAATTTGCCCAGTGCGATGAACAATAGCTCATTCTGCAGAGTTTCTCCTCCTTTTTGTATTCCTCCCATTTCAACGGAGTGACCTCTTTGCGAGCTGAAAGAGCAAAGCCTTCATTCAAAGTACTTCCCCTGGAATATACAGAAATGTGCCAGTTATTCCGAGGAGAGGATTATCCCGCGGTATATGGAGCTAATACGATTCCAGATTTCCTTGTAGGGCACGCAGTGGCTTATTGGCCGACTGCGAAGACCTCCGAATCATTCAGAAATCATCTGGCGCCTGGTTTCAAAGAGCTGAACAAAAAGAGCATGCAGAGAGATTAGAACAGGTTATTAAATGGGCCCTTACACATCATACAGTGGGACTAATCTCATAATCTGGATTGGGTTTCAGGTTCGTTATATCATTGTCTGGCCTCTTGTGTTGATGAAGGCCTAATTCAAGTCAGTGTCGTCCCTCTAACACGTAAACATATTCAGATTAAAGACGACAGCAAGTCATTCAAAGCTGTGGGATAATAATCTGCTCAGCTGAGCAGCAGGAGGGACGATAATCAGCTGCTTTGGGCAACGATGAGACGACCCCCAAAACAGGAAGGCTTTTTTCCTTCCTTCTTGTTTTCACTAGTTTTGCATTCAGGGTCGGTGTTACTACTGGTAGCACGAGGCCATACCTGGACCCTACAGAGGTCGGTAGTAACTCCTCCTGGAAGGCTCACCAGTACCATTGCAAGGAGGTTATCTACCAACACAGCCTCGAGAGACTGGGGCAGATGGGGTGTGCCGAGTTACACAGGAAATGGGCAGAAAACGAGGGGCAAGAGGAATCTGGGGAGATGAATCCAAGTGTGAAATATTTAGGTTCAAAGTGTTGACAGCATGTATGGAGGAGCAGCACTGAGAGTCTACAGCCAGCTTTTAAACACGGTGGAGGCACAATCATGGATGCA